CCCCCCCCCAGCTCTCTGGAGTGTCCCGGTCATGGCCCCTCCGGGCAGCAGGACTCCCGGCCTGGCAGGCAGGGGGAGGAGAGCGTGGCAGGCGTTCGTTCCCGTCCTCAGCTCCCGCCGCGCACACTGCTGTCAGGGCCTCATGTTAGCTCAGGCTGGCCTCGAACTCACTGTAGCTGAGCGTGACCTTAAACTCCTGTCCTCCTGCCTCGGGTCACCAATGCTAGAGAGCAGATCGGGTGTCACTGGGAAGCCTGAGCTGGCCCTGAACTCGCGGCCGTCCTCCTGCCTCAGCATCCCCGGGGCTGGGGCGGCCAAAGTGCGCCACCGCGCTGCCAGGAGGGGTGAGGCCGCCCGTCGGGGGTGGCGGCAGGCTCCGGAGTTCCCGCTGGGGCTGGGGAGGGGCGCATGCAAGCCGCAGCTGGTGGGTGTGGATTCCGAGGAGGCTGCACCAGGTTCCCTTCATTTTAAAATTTCACTCCTTCATTCATTCCTGGAGGGGGTGGGGGGGCAGAGGCCAGATGGTGGGCGTCGGTTCTCCCCACCGCATTGGTCTTGGTGGTTGGAGCTCGGGTTATCAGGCGGGGCTGCAAACCCCTCCAAAGGAACCCGCAAGCCAGCGCGCCCTCCCTGCTGCGGCGCGCGCGCGCCCTTCTGACCAATCCTTTGCACCCGGAGATGGAAATGGGGGGTAGGAGGCCCGTGTGGAGCCTGGGGGTAGATAGTGGATAGATAGTGTATCCAACAACTTGGGGGTCTAGATAGTGTATCCAACAACTTGGGGGTCTAGATAGTGTATCCAGCTTGGGTGCCCTGGGTCACGTGTCTCCCGTCTCCCTAGGGTGCAAGATCAAGGCTTTGCGCGCCAAGACCAATACCTACATCAAGACGCCGGTGCGCGGCGAGGAGCCGGTCTTCATCGTGACGGGGCGCAAGGAGGACGTGGAGATGGCCAAGCGCGAGATCCTGTCGGCCGCCGAGCACTTCTCGCTCATCCGCGCCACGCGCAGCAAGGCGGGTGGGCTGTCGGGGGCCACCCCGGGCCCCCCGAACCTGCCCGGCCAGACCACCATCCAGGTGCGCGTGCCCTACCGCGTGGTGGGGCTGGTGGTGGGGCCCAAGGGCGCCACCATCAAACGGATCCAGCAAAGGACGCACACGTACATCGTGACCCCGGGTCGCGACAAGGAGCCGGTGTTCGCGGTGACCGGGATGCCCGAGAACGTGGACCGCGCGCGCGAGGAGATCGAGGCGCACATCACGCTGCGCACCGGGGCCTTCACCGACGCGGGGCCCGACAGTGACTTCCACGCCAACGGCACCGACGTGTGCCTGGACCTGCTGGGGGCCGCGGCCAGCCTCTGGGCCAAGGCCCCCCACCCGGGACGGAGGCC